AACAGGAGGCTGTGAGGAAGGGCCGAGCTGGAGGCTGAGGATGGGACAGAGGCAACCAGAGCCCCCAGTTCAAAACAGGATTTCTCACCTGCGACCTGTGGCCAGGTCATCCTTTGTCCCAGGGCCTGTCGCGTGCAATGTGGCGTTCAGCAGCATCCCTGGCCTGACCCACTAGTCACCAGCAGCCCAAGCTGGGACATACAGATGTCTTCCACACTCACCAGATGTGCCCGGGGCCAACTCACTGCTGCTGAACAGACAGGCGCGTTGAGTGTGACTGCCTTGAGGGGAGACCCTGACTGTGACGGCGGGGGCTGGAGGAGCCAGGCAGCAGTGATGGCTTCCTCCAAGCCAGTCCTGCTGGAGAAGCCACCTCTGGCATGGCCGTAGGTGGCTCTGCAGGGGGCTCCCACTTGCCCTCCAGATTCGTTCCCCACGTGTCTCCATCCTGCTTTCTACCAAAGTCTGCAGCTCCTGCAGGGCACCCTCCCTAGCCTGTATCTACAGCTCCCTCCTTTTGCTCCAGCAGGGCCTAGGGGAGGTGGGGTAGTGACTTCCACTGTTGCTGGCCCAGGGGTACGTGATCATCTCCTTAACCCTGCTCATGTGTCCGAAGTTTCTCACTCAAGTCTTCAGTCCCCCTCCTGCGTGTGCCATCTGTTCCCTGCTGGGAGGCTGACTGGTAGGGCAGTTTTGCATCCAAGTCCCTCTGGGAGGGAAGCAGCTTGGCAGCCTCCCCAGCCTACTGCCTTGCTCTGTTATTGCTGCTCTTTTGAAATGCATTAGCCTCAGAAATGACCTTAAGGTCAGGGAGTATGATTAATCAAAGTGCTAATTCTCCACATGAAAAATGCAATGTCAGGAAAGGCCCCATTGTGTGGTCCTGGCTAATAATTAAAACCATCCCGATACAGAACCAGCGAGTCGTCGTTATTGATCGGCCCTGGCTGGGGGGTGGGGTGAAGGCCCTGGAACCAGACCTGGCTGTACCATCTGTACCTGGAACAATCACTTGATTGCTTCGATGCTCAGTATTCTGATACTTTGAGGGTGCGGACTGAGACTGCTTGGGGCTTGAGAGGGGAGGGGGGTAGCAGGAGTGAATGAAGACCTTCAGGGTCCCACAGAGACCGGAAGTCTAATTTAGTTACACAGAAGGTGATACTATTGCTGACCATAGCCAATGTTTACTCACAGTTCTTTTTTTTTTTTTTTAAAGATTTATTTATGCAGACAGAACTGTGGCACAGGCCAGAGGGACAGGTGTGGTGAGAGGCTTCGCCAGAGACTGAGTGGGGAGCAGGACAGGCAGATGGACGAAGTACACTGCTGAGGGGAGCAGCGGGTGGGTCAGGAGAGGTCTGCGGTGCCATGTGGTCACCTCCCGGGCCGGGGATCGAACTCGCACTGAAGCGGCTGCAGCTCGCTTGCAGTGCTACGCCTTAACCCACTGCGCCACCAGGGAGGGCTCTACTCACAGTTCTTATGGCAAATGCCTTTACCTATGCCATCTGACTTTAATCTTTATAACAAAGTTTTACAAGTTTCCCCTCATACTGGTGTGTGATGAAATTAGGCTTAGAGTCAATGTCATGTGTCTTCTAAATCACAGGATTCAAATTAGTATCTGACTAGAGACTGTGCTCTTAACCTTTGGGTAGGGAGCCCTTGGGCTTTCTGGGGTGTCTGATCCTGCACCTCCATCTCTGCCTTCCATGTGCAAGAAGTAAATGAGCTGACCATGAGGACATTCTTTATGCGCATCCTTTGCCAGGCGCTGTGTATCCAGGAGAGACAGTGTTAGGAGTTCGCTGTCCAGGGCAGGGGCTGACAAACTTTCCATAAAGGACAAGTGAGTCACCATCTTGGGCTTTGTGGATGACATGGCTTCTGTCACATCTTTCAACCATGCCATCGAGGTGCAAACATAGCCATAGATAAGACACAGAAATGAACATGGTTATGTTGCAATAAAACTTACAAAAATGGGCCCTCCCTGGTGGCGCAACGGGTTAGGACACAGCACCGCAAGCTGGCCCCTGCCACTTCGCTTCAGTGTGAGTTCGATCCCCGGCCCCAGAGGTGACCCACAGGGCGCAGCAGACCTCTCCGGACCCACTTGCTGCTCCCCTCAGCAGTGTGCTTCATCGATCTGCCTGTTCTGCTCCCCACTCTGTGTCTGGTGAAGTCCCTGCACCTCTGGCTTGTACCCAGTTCTGTATGCATAAATAAATTAAAAAAAAAACTTACAAAAATTAGGTAGTTTCTGCAGATCACAAAATGCTGTTCTTTACAATTCTTAAGGCTCACTGAGACTGTAAAAGTGATTAGCCGGCAGACTTGTGGGTAGAATTTGAACTACAAGTTATAGTTTACCTACTCCTGAGCTAGTGGGGGCTGGCAAAAACACAACCACAACTCAATGGGAGGGCGAGGAGTGACTAGGCGGGGCACGAGGCTCTTGGTCACGTCCTACTTGATCTGGAGGTGGTTACATCTTGTGATTATTCCAATGCGTACATGTTACTGTTGTACTTCAATAAAAAGATAATTACAGGTGGGATGCTGTGTGTCTTGGGCAACCAGGGGCAGGCTCTCTGCATTTGGACAGGCGGATAAAGGAGCGCCCCGAAGCCCTCAGTGGCTTTCTCAGACTTTAGTGCTCTTTCTATGCCCACTGCCCACTGGCAAGCCCCGTGTGGCAGGCCTCAGCCCCCCAGAATCTCCACGTTGTTCTCTTCTCCCCGGGGATCTCTTATGGCCTCTTCTTCTCGTACCATGGCTCCCCGGTTCCGAGCAGGTCTGCTCTAGCCATTTTCCTGCGTCAGTGATGTCGCCCTTACAGCTTCGGCCTCCAGGCACAGGTGCGCACTCACGCCACCATCAGGCGTGTGTAGCCCGAGCCCACGCTCCCAAGCGCCTTTGGCGTTTAAGGCCGCAGGTGACAGCCACAGCGGCCAATGGTGTCAAAGCCTGACCATTGCACTTACCCTACAGTGGGTGTTTACAGGGTAATCATTTTAGTAAAGCATTAAGCCCCGTCCGCCAAAAGGTAACAGTTTGCTGGGTCTCCCCTTCATACAGGAGCTTTACACGTTAACACCAAATTTGTTTTGGGACTTTCGCCCTTGTCAAAAAAATTTTTTTAAACGAAGCAGTAATGATGGGGCAGTGTTGGGGTAAGACGGGGGTACAAGAAAGGGCCCTGCGCGGCGTGGGAAAGCAGAGGCTTCTCCACTGTATCTGACAGGAGAGCCGGCGGGAGAAACGGCTTTCAGGGGGTCCCATAACCACGACCCTATCACTTAAAAATACTTTTTGCTAATTATAGATTCTTTTCATTAATTTCGGTCATTTAAAAAGAAGCATTAAGCGCTTCTTTAACTCGAAGGCTGCAGTTTCTGACACCCTCTTAAATGTTGCACCTGCCGGCGATTCGCTCGCCCCATCCTACTTCAGCCCCGGGACAGGATGAGGAGGATCCCGGCTCTGATCTTAGTACCTGGGGCACGCCGCTCCTCCCCGGTGGCCTCGGCCACGAACAGGAAGGCGGTCGAGGCGGGACAAGCCCGCCAGGATTTAAGATGCCCCCAGGCGCGAGCCGAACGGCGACTGCGGGAATCCGGAAAAGGGCAACTACTTCCCGGCAGGAACCGCCCAGTGAATGTTATCCAATGAGCGAGGAGTCGCTCTTAGAATTAGACTCGTGATTGGCTGAGGTTACTAATCGTCATCAGCCAGCGACGAGCGCCTCGGGGGGGGGCTAATCAAAATAAACTCCTTTTTGATTGGCTTCTCCCTTGAGGGATTTGAAACAGCGATGAGGATTCGTTCTCCTGCGACCCCCCAGGCTCCAGCTCATTGGAGGGAGGGAGGGAGAAGGACGTTTGGGGAGAAACTTACTAAGTCACGTACAGCCCGGAAGTCCCAGAGGGAGGCTTGCCCGTGGCCGCGGGTGGGCTGGGGGCGGTCTTCTTTCTGGGGGGCGTGATCCTTTCGAGGACGGGGGTGGAGCGGCCAAACAGCGTTCCGCGCGCTTGGGAGGCGGGGTTCGGGGCGGGCCTCGCGTGTGGTTGGGCTCTGAGGCGAGGCGGGGCGGGGCGGGGCGGCGCGGCGCGGGGTGCGGAGCGCGGCCGCCGAGTCTCAGAGCTGCTGGCTGCTCGCTCTTCCCACTCATGGCTACACGCTGCTGGCGCTGGTGGCACTGGTCAGCGTGGCCTCGGACTCGGCCGCCTCCCGCCGGGAGCACCCCGAGTAGGAGCAGGGCACCTCTGGGGCTGGATAGGAGCGCGGGGAGGCCTGCGATCACCAGGTGTAGGGGCGAGAATGGAGGGGTCCTTTCGTGAGGACGAGATGGGGCTGGTGTGTAGGAGCAGTGGGGCCTGTGTGGTGAGATCTGAAACCCCTAAGATGAGTGAGGCAGGGGTCAACAAAGATGACAGGGGAGACCATGATGTCCCCAGGTATGAGAAGGGGTGAATGGGGGTGATATGGAGGTCTGTGGGGGCAGTGGGGAGTCCAGAAGTGAAACAAGGGTCTATAAAATAAGCTGGGGTCCTGTATGGGCAATACAGAGTGCTGTGGTTAGTAGTGATAAAATGGGGGTATGTGGGGAGATGCGTGGGGGCAAGATACTTAGGAAAGTCAAGTACTGCACAGGGCAACGTCCGAGGTGACAGGTGGCTGAGAGGGCTGTCCTCGGGGTAGTAAGCTCATGGGTGAGGTGTAGGGCTCGATAAAGATACAACCTTTGGGGAGTAAGATGAAGCAAGGGAGCCAAAGCTTGAAGGGAAAAGGAAGGTGCAGATGAGTGTGGACACCGAGGTTGATTGGGGGTGGAGGAGGGCGTATCGATGGCCTTCCTCTCCCTCCCTCTCTTGACCCCAGGCTTCCACCGGCAGTTCTCCACGCAGGAGCAGACCCCCCAGATCTGTGTGGTGGGCAGTGGCCCAGCTGGCTTCTACACAGCCCAACACCTGCTGAAGGTAAGTCATTTCCTCCTGTTCGCCCCCCAATTCACCTGCTGCTCCAGCCCTAGGGGCAAGTCCTACCTCTTTGAATTTTAAAGGATCCACTCCTGGACCCCTAATGGGGATGGGGCTCCCAGCCCATCTGGACTGGACACTTCCTACACACCTGTCACCTGCCTCTGTCCCCCAGACTGGGCTATGAGAGAAATTGCTGGCCTCATGGGCATGGTTAGTGATGAATGGCCGTGGTCAGCTAGGCCTCCAGGGAGCTTGTGCAGACCTGCAGGATGACTCTGTCCTGTTCTTCATGTCTTCATCTTTGTCTTCTGTCCCCCAACGTCCTCTGTCCCAAGACATCCCCCTCTTCTCAGGGGTCTCTGTAACCTGAAAAGTACTTTCCTCACCAAAAGCTCCAGCCTCTCCAGACCCCTCTGTTTTCTCAGCCTGCTCTCTGCCCTCCACACTGGCCTCCCCCAAGGCCAGAGTTCTAGAACTTACAGTATTGGCCTTGGTGGTCAGGGCCACTGGTTACCCTTGAGATTCCATTGGCCTTGGTGAGAGGGAGGCAGAGAGAACTGAAGACCAGGAGGAGGGAGGCCTAGGCTAAGACATGGGACGGGGACTCGGGGTGTCTCTGGGGAGACAGGAGGAGAGGAATGTAAATATATCAATTACGTGCACGCAGGCAGATACTTAGAAGGCAAGGTGACCAACTTCCCGTTCGCCTGGAGCCTGGGGGCTGCCAGTGCCCAGGGAGGGTTTCGGGGAGACTGCGGTGTGTTGGTCCGCCTGCCGAGAAGTGACAGAGGTACCTATTCCAAGCAACAGAGATGACAGACCTAGGTCTGCTGGGGTAGCCTGCACGAGCCGGGGCAGGTGGGGCCAGTCCGAAGTGCTCCCTGAGGAAGGTTCATGCGAGTTGTAGTCAAGACGCCCCCCTGAGGAGGGCTCACCCTGAAATGCAAGGCCACGGATGGAGAGAGACTGTGGGCCCTGGGCATGGACGGGAGCAGAGGTGCTGGCGAGATGGAGATCCTGAGAGTGTGGAGGGGCACGCTGTCAGCTGAGCCTGAAATCTGGGGAGCTAGATCTGAGCTGGCCCTTGCCCACGTCCACAGGAGCTCGGGCTAAGACCGTGCCCACAGCAGGAACAGGTGGCACACCGGGGCAGTGGCATGCGGCTGAGCCGGGCACGGTCGGCACAGCGGCTCGTCGCACCCATGGCCGCCTGCGAAGTAGGGGTCACGATTCTCTTCACAGGTCACGGTGGGAAGCTCCGTGGGGCTGTCCGCCGTCCCCGGCTGGCTGGGTCGTGCACAGGCAGTCTGGTGGTGGAGGACACTTGAGCACCACGCTGGGCCAGCCAGCCAGCAGTCACCAGACGCTGGAATGTGGGGTGAACAGGGCAGGTGTGGTCCCTGTGCCCAGAGACCTGACGGTGTAATGTGGGGTGGGGCAGGGTGCAGAGAAGAGGCGGGCACCATATTCTAGGGCTCTCCGGTGGGAGCCCAGACGTGGGCTAAGTCCTGTACAGGGGTACTGTACAGGGACTGTCCAAGGAAGGGACTGTCCAAGTTGCTGTCTGAAGGACAGAGATGTCGGGCGGGCTGGGCTGGTAGGAGGCCAGAGTCCAGGCACTGAGCGGGTTGAGGCTTGGAAACGGAAGTGCCCTGGGGCCAGATGAGTTCAGGAAGGCAGGTGTGTGCAGTGTGGGCAGGGAAGGGCTTGAGGAGGGAAGTGGGGCAGGCTTGGTGGTTTTTCTTGGTGCTGCCCAGCTTCCTGCTCCATGACTGGGGTGAGCTCTGACCCGATCCAACAGGCAGGGCCCGGATCAGTGTCTGGCCAACGCCTGTATTGCTGGAGGGGTCCAGGCGTGGCGATGACCGGACCCCATGGTCGAATGGGAGCTCGGTCTGCGGGGCATTCAGTGCGGCAGCGGCAGCGAGGCAGGGGTGTCTTGGGGGAGACGGGGCTGATGCGATAGGGCGGAGGGGAACCGGGGAGCCGGAGTGCGGGCTTGGGCTCCAGGTGGAGAAGGTGGCGGGGACACTGGGCGGAGGTTTGCCGGAGGGGACTGGCGGCAGCTGGGTGGGTCACCCAGGAGTGTCAGATTCGGGGCTTGGAGAGTGATCTGGGCGGGAGGAGAGAGGAATCTCACAGCAAGTCTGGGGGAACTTGAGTTCCCTCTTCCCCAGGGAATGCAGCGCGGGAAGGGAGAGGTCAGTACTGGGCCTCAGAGGATGTATGTGTTGGGAGGAAACCGGGGGAGGCTCCGAGGAAGAGCAGCCTTCCCTGGTGCAAATGTCCAGTGGCCTTAGCGCTGAGGGTGGCCGTGAGAGAGCCCAGGACCCACAGGGACGCGTCCAGCAGGCAAGAGTGGACGATGCAGTCAGAGTTGGATTGCGTAAGGTGTGGACCTCCGGGCTGAGCCGCAGACTCACCAGGCGGGTCAGGCTGCGGCGGGGACGTGACAGCCGCGTGCACGCCGTGGCTCAGCCCTGGGCTGGGCCCTGAGCAGCCCTCGGGAAGGGATGCTGTGTGCGGAGATGCTCCGGTTCAGAGCTGGGAGCGGGGTTGGGATTGCCCAGACACCTGCTCGTTGGGCTGTTGACTCCATAGCGGGACCTTTTTGAGGTGCAGCTCAGTGGGGCTGGACGGTGGTTTGGGCACCGCCCACATGCTGCAGCTGGGGAGGGTCCGGCTCGGCTGGGGGGAGGCGAGGAGGGTGATGGCTGGACGTGGGTGCAGGAGGGGAGCGAGCAGGCCCCGTGTGCTGAGGGTCAGCGCAGGATCTACTGGCTGGGGCCCCGTGGCACCGGGCTGTGCCCCGCCCAGGTCGCTCTCCGAGCCCCGCATCTGACAGTCCTGGGTGACCCCCCCACCGAAAGCCAGTCCCCTCAGTACAAGGAGGGGCCCCAGCTCCTCGACCACGCCTCTGCCCGCTCCCCACGCCCCTGGCCGGGCCGGCGTGGGCCTGTTAGCCGTGTGCTGGGCAGGGAAGAGGCGGAGGCCGAGGTGGGTCCTGGGACTTGACAGGGTCCGGGGCCGGCTGGGCGCAGAGCCAGCCCAGACTGCTATGCTGCACCCCAACCTTGTGCCTTGCCCAGGCTCGGCCACGTGCCCCGGAGCAATGACAGCAACAGTGTGGGGGAGATGATGGCCTTTCTAAGGCCGAGAGAGGGTGCTTCCATCCCTCCCCGCCCCACGAGTCCTGGCCGTGCCGACTCCCTGTCCTTCCTGCGGGTCCCCTTTCCTACGAGAGCCTGGAGCTGCGAGCTGAGCAGGGATGAACCCCAAAGCGGTGCGTCTCAGGTCGTCAGACTGGGCGGGCGTTTCTCGAGTGTCAGGCTCGGGCAGGGCAGGTGTTGCGGTTCACCCACCCGGTGAAGACGCTCCGGAGACAGCTGCCACTTCCTCCAGTGGCCGGAGGGCCTGAGGCTGGCAGCTGGGGTCTGCTGTACCGCCCCTCCTCTTGCTGGTGCGGGCAGCTGGTGGGCGTTGCTTTCTCGCCGAGACTTGAGGCGCCCTCCGCCCCCGGGCTGAGCTCTCTTGCTGTCGGGGAAGAGGGGAACCTGGAGGGGCCCAGCCTCCCCCTCGGTCCCATGGCTGCTGCCTCCCCCCCCCAGCACCACCCCCGGGCCCACGTGGACCTCTACGAGAAGCAGCTCGTGCCCTTCGGCCTGGTGCGCTTTGGTGTGGCACCCGACCACCCCGAGGTGAAGGTGAGTGTCTCTGGGCGTGGAGGGTGGGCTTTGGCGATTTGGGTCAACATGAGGAGAGAAGGGCGGGCCCCTGCCACATGGAAGAACCCCAGGGACTCTGGTGTGACCCAGGTTCCATCCCAGCGACATCGTGGGGTGAGGGTGGCGCAGGTGGGCCCCCGGAGCTGCCCCGCCCACTCACTCTGCCTCTGGGGGCTTGCAGAATGTCGTCAACACCTTCACCCAGACGGCCCGCTCGCAGCGCTGTGCCTTCCACGGCAACGTGGTGGTGGGCAGGGACGTGGCCGTGGCCGAGCTGCGGGAGGCCTACCACGCCGTGGTGCTGGTGAGCTGGGGGCTGGGCGGGGAGGGGGCGGCACGGGCAGGGCAGCCGCGGAGGTTAGGCTGAGGCAGAAGGGAAGTGAGGGGTGGGCCAGACCTCTGGGCGACGGAGCCTGAGGGGTGCTGGGCCTGGCGCAGAGGCGCTGAGGGCGCTGGTCTTTCCTCAGAGCTATGGGGCAGAGGCCCATCGGGCCCTGGGGATTCCTGGTGAGGAGCTGCCGGGGGTGCTCTCCGCCCGGGCCTTTGTGGGCTGGTACAACGGGCTTCCTGAGAACCGGGAGGTAAGTGTGGGGAGCACTCCTGCTGCCACTTCCTCTGCACCCCTCGGCAGGGATGGGGGGGCCACTCCTGGACACCAGAGCTGGGGAAAGGATGAACTGCTGTCAGGAGGTTCCCAGTGAGGCGACCTGGGGAGGGGGCCAGCTGGGGCAACCTCCGAGAAGAGGGGACCATGTCGAGGAGGGTTGAGTTGAAGCTCAGGTGGGGGGACCTTCCTGCATGTGGGGCAACCCGAGGGCACAGCTGGGCCCTGAGACTGAGGTGGGCCTGACCGGAGCTGAGACCTGGAGACCCCAGCTAGACCTCTCCCTCCAGCTGGCGCCAGACCTGAGCTGTGACACGGCTGTGATCCTGGGGCAGGGGAACGTGGCTCTGGACGTGGCCCGGATCCTGCTGAGCCCCGCTGAGCACCTGGAGGTGAGTTGGGGGTGGGGAGGGGCTGGCTGGAGGTGCGGAGGCAGGACAGCATCGAGGGCTGGGCCTCCTGCCTGCAGGCCGGGCTGCTGCCTGCTCCCACGGCACCCAGGCAGAGGCCCTGTGCGATGCGGCCTCTAGAGCTTCGTCTCACTCCTACCTCCTCGATCACCCTCTTGTCCCAGCTAGGCTTTTGAAAAAGGCGGTCAGTGTGCCACGTGTACATACCACGTGTCGCTCACCTCCTGCCAGTTATTGATCTTCCAGTACTTGTCTTGTAATTCTTGGTTCAGTTGCCCCTTCCTCCAGGAAGCCTCCCGGGACTGCCCTAACCAAAGCTGTTTCTCTAATGCCTTCTTCCCGCGCGCCTGCTGACTTCTGTGTCACAGCGTGTTGACCCCTGCAGTTTTCCACTCGTGCATGAGTGTTTGCCAAGTTGTCTCAGATTAGGAGCTCGGTGAAGACCAGCACCATGTTGCCCTTCTTGCGTGACGCCCTTCCCACCCACCCTTGAATGGTGCCAGGCTTTCCATGTGCCCAGCACATGGGACCACCTGGTTGAGTGTGGGTCTGGTCTGTTCCTAGCTGGACCTCCACTGGCAGCAGCACCCCGTCTGACCACCAGGGGGGGCGCCGGTGCAGTCTCACGGTGTGTCTGGCAGGGCCCTGGGGATGCTTCATCAGAGGCAGCCTTCCCTGCCATTGGCCCTGCTCCCACTCCCCTCACATCGGACCCTTTTACAACCCTCCTCTGTGCCAGAAAACGGACATCACGGAGGCTGCCCTGGCGGCACTGAGGCAGAGTCGGGTGAAGACGGTGTGGATAGTGGGCCGACGAGGGCCCCTGCAAGTGGCCTTCACCATTAAGGTGCCGGGGCCAGAGGAAGGGGCCGCCTTCCCTTGGGGGGTGGGGTAGGGTGAGCTGGGGTGCAAGAGGAGGGGCCAGCCAGGGTCCGGGACTCGCTGCCTTCCATGTGTGTGGAGGGGTGTCCCCCACCTGGGCTAGGACAGGGGTGGTCTCAGAAGTGGACAGTGGTCTGGCCTCACCTCTGCCCTTATTCCTACACCCAAAGGAGCTTCGGGAGATGATTCAGTTACCAGGAACCCGGCCTGTTTTGGATTCTGCAGATTTCTTGGGCCTCCAGGACACAATCAAAGGTCAGGGGCCCTGGCCTGGTCCCCACAGCTCACTAGGGAGGGGACCGTCTAGGTCGGAGAGGGCTCGGGCAGGCATTTAGGGAGAGGACTGTCACCGAGCGGCAGCCCTGAGGTGTTCGGTGTCGCTGACAGAGGCCCCCCGCCCCAGGAGGCGGCTGACAGAACTGCTGCTTCGGACGGCCACAGAGAAGCCAGCGGCGGAGGAGGCTGCTCGCTGGGCATCGGCCCCCCGCGCCTGGGGCCTCCGCTTTTTCCGAAGCCCACAGCAGGTGCTGCCCTCGCCAGGTGGGGACCGGGCGGCAGGCATCCGTCTGGCAGTCACCAGACTGGAGGTGAGTCTTGTGCTACCCAAAGACACCCCCTTTTTCAAGTCTCCCCGGCCTCAGCTTAGTGTTGCCCACACTCTTCCCCCCCAGGGTATTGGTGAGACCGCCCGGGCAGTGCCCACTGGAGATACAGAGGACCTCCCTTGTGGGTTGGTGCTGAGCAGCGTTGGGTACAAGAGCTGCCCTATCGACCCCACTGTGCCCTTTGACCCCAAACTTGGGGTCATCCCCAATACAGAGGGCCGGGTTGTGGATGTGCCAGGTAAGAGAGTGAGGAAGGCTACACTCCAAACTGCTGGGGGTGCTGGGCTATGCCTCCAGCGAGATGTGCAGAGAAGGTTCTAGAAGCCAGTGGGGCCTGGCCGCGCGGCCTCTTGCTCAGGGCTGGCCTGTCTAGCCGACAGGCCTGCTGGGTCGGGTTGCTGGCCCCACAGTTTGCTGAGGCCTGCTCTGGATGGGCCCTGTGCTCGGCGCTGGGGTAGGCGGTTAAGGCCGCCCCATCCTCAGGAGCTCCAGTCTGAATACAGCCTGCCTGCCTTCAGTTCAGGCCGCGGGGCTTATGCAGGGCCTGACTGGAGGTGGGAAGGGCTCGCCCTGCCTCAGGCAACTACAGGGAGACAGGTGTGAGGGTGGCGGAGTCAGAAGGTGGGGCCAGGTGGTGGGCAGCGGCGGGAGGACTCGGCTGTACGGATGTGCTGGTGGCCGGGTGACTCAGGTTGGCCAGGCAGCGATCACTTACTTTTGCACACCCTCCTCCAGGCCTCTACTGCAGCGGCTGGGTGAAGAGGGGCCCCACAGGCGTCATTGCCACCACCATGACTGACAGCTTCCTCACCGGCCAGACTCTGCTGCGCGACCTGCAGGCCGGACTGCTGCCGTCCGGCCCCCGGCCGGGCTACGCGGCCATCGAGGCCCTGCTTAGCAGGCGAGGTCTGGGCCACACATGGGGTGCTGGGAGGTGGACTGGGCCACCCCGGGCCCCACTGCTGCTCTGGTCTGGGGGAGGCAGTGACTCACCTTTCCTCTTTCCCAGGGATCCAGCCCATCTCTTTCTCAGACTGGGAGAAGCTGGATGCCGCGGAGGTGTCCCGGGGCCAGGCTGCTGGGAAGCCTAGGGAGAAGCTGCTGGACCCCCAGGAGATGCTGCGGCTGCTGGGGCGCTGAGCCCAGATCCAGCAGGGCAAGGAGGGAGGAGTGCTATGCATGGGAGGGGGGCCCAGGGTCATCCGGGCTCCACAGCTGCCTCACCAGCCTGCCCTGGGCCTCGGCGGCCGCTCCCAGGGGCCTCTGAGTAACTTCCTCCTGCCAGAGGTCGCCTTGTTGGTGTGCATTAGGGGAGGGGAGAGGTGAGGCTGACCTTCCTCTCCCACCTCTCTCCTGTGGCCCGTCACCGAGTCAGGAATATGATGGAAATAAAACCACTGCAATGGAATGCCAGTGATTGACGCGTGCCTGCTCGGGGGTCTGGGTCACCTTCCAGTCGCGCCTCCCCCTCGTCACCAGGTGGCGCTGCAGAGCCAGCTCCCTGCTCTGGGGGCCTCTTGGGGGCTCGAAGGGGGTTGGCAGCCAGGCCTGGCACCCATCTCTCTTTCTGGGCTGTCCTGCTGCTTCTGCCTTCTGCCCACGCCGCAGGTGCCCTGGGACCCCAGCCTGCCTGCTCTGCTGGCCCCACCAGCAGGTCCCCTGCCTGGGGAGCCCCGGGACAATCGAAGAACAAGGAAAGAAGAGAAAAAGTGGGAGCAGCGGCTTCCCCTGGTCCCTCCCGGTGGCCCCAGTATGTCTGGCCCCAGTTGCCTTCTCTTGGCTCCCAGAACCTCCTAGGTCTCCAGCCAGATGGACAAATCTTTTAAAAATAGTACCTCGGTCTCCGTAGCGCTTTGCCGCTTACCAGACACATTTGCCCCTTTGAGGACATCCCGAGATGCCGGCCTCCCTTTTGGGACATTGGGGGACCTCCAGCTGAACCCGTCCAAGGTCACACGGCGAGCGCGGGCTCGAACCCCGGGTTCTGGGCGGCTGTGTTTCCCGGTCTGGGGACACAGTCCTGGAGAGGGG